AAGCTTCTCAAACACGTCCAAGTATAGGACGTTTACACTGCTGCCCGTGTCCACCATAACCCTTTGGACGTCCGTCCCTTTAACGTCAATCGTGACCACGAGCGCCTCCATGCCGTGGTCGCTGCTGGTAGGTTGGTCCTCGAGGGTGAAGGTTATGGGCTCCATCTTCTGCCTCTTCCCGGTCTCCCGGGAATCCACTATTGCGACCGGGCAATTAGTCTGCGGTCGGGAAGCATCTTCTAGCCCACCAAAAATGACGTGGATGGTAGGCTTTCTGGACGGGCGGCTACCGGACGGAGGGTCAGGGTCCCGTCGGTCATCGTGACGATCGTCCCTTCGGTCGTCTCTTCGGTCCTGACCTGACCGATCGGAGCGGTGATGAGAACGCCTATGATCTCTCCGATCGGCATTCTTCTTGTTGTCCTCTCTCTTCCCCACACACTTGTCCAATTTTCCCAGGTTGAGCAGATCTTCTAACAATTGGCGCAAGTGGGTACACTCCTCGGTATCATGCCCGGCGCATCGATGGTAAGCACAGTGCTTACTCTTGTCAGGGCCGTCTCGATCGGGATGGGGGAGTTTGATGAGATTGCAGGACTGGGCGTATTGCATGGCCTCTGCTGCGGATCGGTTCAAGGCCGTAAACTCGCCAGGCCTGGTGCGGGATCGGGGATTGTCATCTCCCGATCGATGCTCCGCCCGGCCGGCCGGCTTACGGGTCGAAGAGCCGACCTCCTGCAAGCGCTTTACGGCGTTCGCCTCGCCGGCGTTGGCGTAATCTGTGACCCTCCGAAGGGCCTCCTCGTAACTGGTCGGGGGGTGTAGGATGAAGTCCTGATACAAATGCCCCGCCCGGAGAGATATGTGGAGCATGTGGGTGGCGGTCGCATCGTCCATAGGCTCGACCTCCCCGACCGCCGCTTTCCATTTGATGAGGAAGTCGGTCAAGCTTTCCCCTTCTAATTGCTTGGCCTTCTCGAGATACATGTAGGACTTCCTCACCACTTTGGAAGTGATGAACTTCCTCACAAATTTGATCGCCAGGGTCTCAAACTTATCGATCGACCCCGGTTGCAGGGTACGGAACCACTCTGCCGCCCGACCGGTGAGGGTCGAGTAGAAGGCCCTGCACATCACGGCGTCCGAAACGCCCTTCAGCATCATGTTGCTGAAAAAATCATTCACGTGGGCCTCAGGATCTGCCCGTCCGTCGTAACTCTTCTCCCCAGAGACCTTTAAGTCAAGCGGGTAAGGCTGGGCCATTACCGCTGCTGTGAAAGGCGTCTGGTGCAGGGTCGATTGGTTGACCGGGGGTGTTGCAGGGTACGCATTCCTGAGCTGCGCAACTTCCGCCTGGAGGTTATAGAGTAATCCTCGGGTTTCGTTGAGCTCGGCGGCTTGAGCGGCTTGGGCTGTATCCCGAGCGCGTCGCCGTCGGTGAGACCTCGACCCGCTATACCCAGATGAAGCCTCCTGGCTAGCCTCCTGCATCTGTATGTCTTCTTGCCCGCGGTTCGGGTCTTGGGGTCCCAAACGCTGGCGCATCTCCGGTCGTAGACGATCAAAAGCTACCGCCCGGGCAACTTCTTCAGGGTCCTCCACTTGGACGGCCTGAGCTGGAGCCTCCATCGCATCAGCACCCCCCGACCCCAACCGCGAATGAGCCGAGCGTCGAGCCCGGGATGCGGACTGACGCTGCGGCTCTACCTGTGCGGTCGGTTGTACTGGAGGGGCGGCGGCTGGAGCTGTATAAGCCGGCGTATATGGTGGATATCCAACCGGGGGAGTGTAGCACATCGGTTGGCCTGGCCAATACCCGTACGGTGGAGGTGGGACCGGGTATGGATACTGGGCGGGATACATCATCGGCTGCTGCTGGTGTGGCAGACCGGGTGTTGGGTATCCCGGTTGTATGTAATTCACGGCCTGCTGGGCGGCCGGGTATGCATTTGATGGATGCGGTGGTGAGAGGTTGAGGTTGAGGTCCATCGTCTGACCCTGCTGTTGGGTAGCATAGTGGTCGGAAGAGCTCGCCGCATTCGCCTGGTCGTCGGCAAAGTTGTTGTGTGCCCACGGATACATGTCGATATAGCGATCGGGTGCTCGTCAAGACGTTGGCTTCTTGCACGGGTCCCCACAGACGGCGCCAAAATGATACTGCTAATTATACGTAAGCAATATATAACAACACGAGACCAATTAAAGCAAGTAAATATCTTTATTGATCACGGTAAAGGCCCTAAGTACAATCTACTTGGTTGCTCTGAGTACCGACTAACTACGGTCGGGATTCTCTAACAACAACCTATCGATCGTCCAAAAGTCCTCTACACTGTAGCTACTGTGGGTATTTATAGCCGCTATGCCGGGGACAGGATTCCAGCCGTTCGGCATGTCCTCCACGTAGCCACCACGTGTCGTCCTCCCGGGTGCCCTGTCTGTCGTCGTAGAGAATCGCCACGTGTCTTTCGTCAGCTCTCTCGCCAAAGGTCTACCGCTCGGCGGTCGACACCGTCGCTCGGGCAACTCCCGGTCGGCTCCCGACCGGGTCCTTCTCAAGGAGCCCGACCTGTTACCTGCAAAGACAAAGAGAAAAAGACAAAGGCTTCTCGGTCGTGGTGAAGCTATGTCGGTCGGGATATTCCCTACCAGATATGTTATATATATTGATTTTCTTACATATACCGAATCAAACACCCATGTGCATATTCGTGGTTAATTCAACATATACTCTCTGTGATTGAATTATATGCATACATCCTTTTCTACCGAATAAATATTCCTAGTTTATAGATGTTCGAAAGCTGAAACATATATATATATATATATATATATATATATATATATATATATATATATATATATATATATATATATATATATATATATATATATATATGGAAGGGTTCATGTGCGGGTATAGCTTTCCGTGCGGTTGTGCGGTTAGATTTGAGTCGTTGATCAAATCTAGATTAACGGCTCAAATCAATGAAAATTAAATATAAAAAAAATGCGTGTCTGGAAGAAAGTCACGCACCTTTAAGTGTTAGATCTTAAGCACAAACTCACGCATATTAAGTACAAAACCCACGCACATTAAGCACAATCTCACGCACACTAAGCACAAAATCCACGCATTTAAGTATTAACTCACAGACCTTAAGTTTCAACAACTACTGACATTAAGCACAAACTCACGCACATTAAGTACAAAACCCACGCACATTAAGCACAATCTCACGCACATTAAGCACAAAACACACGCACTTTAAGTATTAACTCACAGATTTTAAGTTTCAATAATTACTGACATTAATCATTAACCTCACACACATTAAGCACAAACCCTATGCAAATTAAGCACAAACTCCACTCACATTAAGAACAAATCTCACTCACCTTAAACACAAAAGCCCACACTTTAAGTTTTACCAACTACTAACGTTAAGCATAACCCCATGCACATTAAACACAAAACTCACACACCTTATGCACAAGACTCACGCATCTTATATACAAAACTCACGCACATTAATCACAGACCCGCTCACATTAATTTTGACCTAGATTCAAAAATTACAAAATTGCCACCGCTTTTTTTAAAAAAAAAAAATTGGTAATCCTGGACGTTGATTTAAGCGAGATGAATGGCCCAGATTAAACCGCACAACCGCACCTGAGCACTCTAACCGCACCAGAACCTAATTCTATATATATATATATATATATATATATATATATATATATATATATATATATATATATATATATATATATATATATATCTTTATTATTATTATTATTATTATTATTATTATTATATATAATAAAGCAGAATCTAGCCACAAAATTTTCCCTCCAAAGTGTGAATGCATTTTGATAGAAACAAGTATGAATGCATTAATTGTGTGGGTACATGTATTTATACATATATTTTTGAAGTTATTATGTGTATTTATATTTTATAAATTATATTTTATTATTATTATAACTCTATTTCTATTCTTCTCCCAAATGTTGAATCCCCAACCCTAAGGGCTATAGCTCTATTTCTATCTCTCTCTCTCTCTCTCTCTCTCTCTCTCTATATATATATATATATATATATATATATATATATATATATATATATATATATATATATATATATTAAAGCATAATGAAGTATGGAAAAAAAAGCTTATTGTGTTCAAATTTATTGGTAAAGTTTTATATTTAATATAATTTGTGTATATATTCATTTAAACCTCAATTATAATTAATTTGACTCCACATATATAAAGATGAGAAATTAGATAAAAATAAATATAATTTTTACATAAATAATCTTTTTCAAATGAATAAGTTTTTTGTGGAGATTTTCGACAAATATCGCCTGTTATTTTACTTACAAGTTTTATTTAAATACGTTAGCTATATAATTAAAGTAGTTATTTCAAATTTAAATTCCTTTCAAAAAAAATCAAATTCAAATAATAATACAAGCAACAATAAAATTTAAAATCAACATAATAATAGCATAATTAAACTTTTAAAAATATTAAATATTACATTGTATAGTTATACTTACATTTTTAATCAAACTAATTCTGAGCTCAAGAACTCAAGTACGTTTTTCTGTTTCCACACATATTACTTTCTTTGCTAATTCAGAGGATTTCAAAAATTTAATTGATAAATTTGTTAAATTAATAATAGTTCGTGCATCGCATAGGACAATTATTAGTTATCATATCCTATCCTATATATAAAAAAGCCAAACGGATTAGGCTCAATTCCCCCGCCCAAAATTTTAGAATATAATTTGGAATTATTTTTTTTAACAAATTGCATGAATGACCCACCCAAGATTTTAGAATATCTTACAAAAAAATATTTACACCTTTTCCATTTTTCAATGCTAATTATTACGGAGCACTGTTTAACTGATAAAGATAAATTTATGCATTGATTTACATAAAGTTCTGTCAACATTGACAGGTAATTAATAAGTAGTCTGTATCATTTATTACCATTACACAAGCAAGCATGCTAAAATATAATTATTACATATTTTTGAAACTGAATTTTTGTGAGATGCTAGCTATAAATACTAGATGTTTCACAGTGAAACCCCACATTTACAATGAAACACAATAGAAAGTGAAACCCCACATTTACAGTGTACTGAAACACAAGAGAAAGATCAAGAAACAGGAGGTAATGTTTTCCTTTCTATCTCACGAAACTTCTTCCTTTTTAAGATTTATACAGTGATGCTCATTTGTTTTGGGGAAACTTGAACTGGGAGAGGCAAAGCTTGCACAGAAAAAATGTTAGATCCCAATTTTTTAAGTGAAATTATACGGGAAAGATAAAGTCAAAATAAAATGCTATAGAATTAATTCACCTTAGAGATAGGGAGGGGCAACCAAGAAGCGCATCAATGCCTAAGAGTGATCCTTGATCTGTCCATAGGTTAAGGCTTGTTATGTCCAAAGACCACATACTGTAGAAAGAAAACTAATTTTTGCAGGTAGTATTTCCAATGGAACAGACCTGAAAGAACAAATATATCATGAGCAGTCAGTAGAAACATGAATTAGAAATTTAAGATGCAACAAGATATTTCGAGCTTGAAAGCAATTAGAGGATTAGTGTATTATACTGACATGTATTATGTTTAGATTAGAATAATGGGATTAGAATTTAGAAGACCCAAAAAAAAAAAAAAAAAAAAAAAAAAAAATGCATCAAATTTCTTTATCATCACTTGCCTGTAAATTTAGATTGTTAGTATTTGGGTTTTAAAATAGAATCAGAACAAAAACATTAATTATCTATTACATGCTTGAGTACACTACAAGTTACACAGTACCCAAAACACACAACACTTTGGCTTTCCCCATACACCTAGCCCTACTACAATGTTGTAATCAACATTGAGTACACTATAGCAATCCTAAATAGTGAGTTTTGAATTCTCTACAAGTTGATAGCTATATATATATATGGCATTCAAGAATCAAACATGTTCATAAGCATATAAGAACACTGTTTTGTAATGATACTATCCTAACAGTTTTCTTGGCGAAGTAGAAAGCAGATCAAGTATTGAGCTATGAAGCAACTAACTGGTTCAACAGTTATTGGAAACAAGAGAAAACTATCATCACATATCAAAGGTTAGTTAACAGTTTGCCTTATATTACTTTAATCTAAACAAATGTCGGATTATGCTACATTTCTTTCTTTTTTTTTTTTTTTTTTACAATTTACAGTACATAATGAATATGAAATCCAATTGCATATTTGATTGCAAATATTGTATGCTTAATCTTCATAGGAATACAGTATAATAATTAACTCTTCACATTACACTTATCTTTAACTTTGTATAAACCTTCATAGAAGAATGTCTTCTTAAAGTTCTAGATCTCCTGGCTGTCGAAAAAAATTTACAATATATAAGCTTAAATTAATAGAGGTAAAATTCGTAAGGTAAAGAAACAATTAAATGTCATTGGACTAATAGTATTTCTGGAAATAGAATTACCCAAATGAAATAGCCCTAATCTACACTTACCTTTTCGAAGATCTATTACCCTTTGAGCCATATGCGAAATTAGGGTTACTGAGCACTTCAAAAACACAGATCTGTACTCAGATCTTCCATGCATCACTTCGATCTTACCTATACATCCACACTAGAAAAAATATACGAAACAATATGTTAAAATGAAAAAATATAAATGAATGTTAGTCATCTTAGAAATTCGCAGATATACCTTTCAATATATAGGATTAAATTGAAAAAATATAAATAAATGAAAGCCATCTGCGATTTGATGAATCGCACAAATTACTCAGCAAAAAGGCTGGTATGGGTCTTGCAATAAAGTTGAGAATCGATGCAATAGAGAAGTTAAGTCTTTTTTTTTTTTTTTTTTTTTTTTGCAAAGCTTTAGATAAAAAACTTTCTCAGATCAACACAACTGAGAAGTGAAGGTAGTGATTAACCTTGAATTCATGGAGAAGCTTGCAAAGAGAGTAGTCGATGGAGAAGCTGACCAGGGAGTACGCGAATGTTCCAGAGACATGTACTGTCTCCACCAAACAACATATATAAATATTTTAAATACATAGTTAGATGGACTGCTGCAGTGCTGCAACGTGTATATATATATATATATATATATATATATATATATATATATATATATATATATATATATATATATAATGTTTTGTATGTCAAAAACTTTTTAAACATTTGAAAAGGTTATATATAATGGTTTGTGTGTTAAAAACGTCTTTTTAAAAATTAAAATCATTAGCATATATATATATATATATATATATATATATATATATATATATATATATATATAATGTTTTGTATGTCAAAAACTTTTTAAACATTTGAAAAGGTTATATATAATGGTTTGTGTGTTAAAAACGTCTTTTTAAAAATTAAAATCATTAGCATCATTAATGTCACATATTTATTAAATAATTAAATAAATAATATATGTAACACAATTTAGAGTTTTTTCCTCCATTCTCTATCAATTTAATAATATGATTGTGTAAATAATTTTTGTTCTTAAAATTTAATAATATGGTTGTGTAAATAATTTTTGTTCTTATATAGGATGACTTTATCTAATATATTTCATCGGTTTGCTTTTGTTGGTAGAAAATTGTTCTTCTACATTGAAGAATATTTCATCAAGTCCGTTAATTGTATATGGTGTATTCCAATGCTCACTATCGACTCCTTTGAGTGTGTTGACTTATGGTTAGTATTAATTATAATTGTGCATATTCTTATTTATTTCACTTCCAATAATCTACTTACGTCTTTATTATTTCAGATCGAAATATTGTACAGTCGACTATTACCAACACAAATGGGTCATCATATTAATACATGCATATGATATGCAAATAAGGGAACACGGCACAAGTAACGAAAAATCAGTAATGTCAATGGGTGAGCTAGATGCTTGAAAAAGTTAATTCTTAAAACTTCTATCCATCCAGATTTAGATATAATTAAATCATACATGATTAGTATGTAATTTTCAATTTTATTATTAAATCAAATATCTCAATTTTTTTTTTTTTTTTTGCAGAAAATACGCCTTATAAATATATTTACAAGTTAAACATTACATCAACGAGTAACGTTAATGATATGGTGGGCTTTAATTCTTCTCTGCCTTTGAATGATGTTACAAATTGTAAGATATAAATTTACATCATAATTTGATTAATATTTTAGTAAATTTTAACGTTTAAATTTGCTTATCCAAGTAAGTGAAATAACAAATAACCAAGTCATTCGAACAAAGAAAACCAAACATGCGAGGAAAGGAACGGGTTTACTCATTCATGATAAAAATATGTATTCAACTACCCGTAAGTAATTAAATATGATTAATTATGAAATTTAAAATTGTAAATTAAGAATAATCCAATGATGCACAAGCATTGCTTCAAAGCTTTGGACAAAACAATGCGAGACTTGATGCGGTTTGTAAATCCTTCCAGTGAAAGTTCTACATTTGGTGGTAAGACTGTGGTGTTAGGCGGTGATTTTAGACAAATCTTGCCTATAATTCCAAAGGGTTCAAGACAAGATATTGTGTCTTCCACAATAAATTCATCATACCTTTGGAGCAGTTGTAAAGTTCTTAGGTTGACTAAAAACTTACGTCTGAACCGTTTGCAACCGGGTTTACAAATGCTGACCCGATTGCCACTATAGTTGAAAGTACATTCCCTATGTTTCAGAGCGGATTGTGTGATAATAGTATTCTTGAAAGTCGTGCAATTTTGGCTCCAACACTTGATGTTGTTAACGCAATTAATGACTACATGAGTAACATGCACGAGGCAGAGAGCAAAACATATTTTAGTTGTGATACAGTTTGTAGGAGTGAGGATGGGAATGGAGTACTTGCAAACATGCACACACCGGAGTTCCTAAATGGTCTTAAAGCATCTGGTATACCAAATCATTCATTAACATTAAAGGTTGGTTCACCCGTGATGTTGTTAAGAAACATTGATCACTCACTCGGGTTATGCAATGGCACTAAGTTAGTAGTCACTAGGCTTTCAGAGCACGTTATAGAAGCTAAAATAATGTCGGGCAGTCATGCAGGTACAAGGGTTTTGATTCCTCGCTTGAGTATGACTCTGTCAGATCCGAGATTGCCATTCAAGTTCACTAGAAGACAATTCCCAATTATGCTTTCTTATGCAATGACCATTAACAAAAGTCAAGGACAAACATTATCACATGTGGGGTTATTACTAAAGAAACCAGTGTTTGTCCACGGTCAACTGTATGTTGCTGTTTCAAGAGTTAGCAATCCAAATGATTTAAAAGTTTTAATCTGTAGTGATTTAGGAACATGTTGTAACTCAACCACTAATGTGGTTTACAAAGAAGTTTTTAATAATATGTAATTTTGATTTTTTTTTTTAATTATTACTGGTTAAGTTTTTATAGTTAAAACAACGATTGATATGAGAACATTCAATAACATTTATGCTTAAATTTTTCATGCTGTTTGAATGCATTTTGATAGAAACAGGATTAACAAGTATGAATGCATTAATTGTGAGTAGATGTATTTATACATATTTTTTTGAAGTTATTATGTGTATTTATATTTTATAAATTATATTTTATTATTATAGCTCTATCTCTATCTCTATATAATATTAAAGCATAATGAAGTATCGAAAAAAGTTTATTGTGTTCAAATTTATTGGTAAAGTTTTATATTTAATGTAATTTGTGTATACATTCATTTAAATCTCAATTATAATTAATTTGACTCCATATATATAAAGAGGAGAAGTTTGATATAAAATAAATACATTTCTTACATAAATAATCATTTTCAAATTAATAAGTTTTTGGTGGAGATTTTAGCAGAATCTAGCCACAAAATTTTACCTCCAAAGTGTGAATGCATTTTGATAAAAACAAGATTAGCAACTATAAATGCATTAATTGTGTGGGTAGATGTATTTATACATTTTTTTTGAAGTTATTATGTGTATTTATATTTTATAAATTTTATTTTATTATTATAGCTCTATCTCTATCTCTATATATATTAAAGCATACTGAAGTATCGAAAAAATTTATTGTGTTCAAATTTATAGGTAAAGTTTTATATTTAATGTAATTTGTGTATATTATAGCTCTATCTCTATCTCGAACCACGCGCCGCGGTACAATGGAATCTATGTAGGACAGAATGACCGGCCAATTAGGTGGCAAGATGTGTTCCTGCGGCCATCGCCTAAAGAGACATTCTGCCACCCCTTTGGCAACACAATACACCACTCTAGGTACACTCGGCGGCCCTCTGCCATGTAAGCATGTGTTCCTGTGCTTCCATAACTCCCAAAGGATAAGATAAGGCAACCTGCAAATAACAAAAGCAACAAGACGGTTATGTGAAACCACCCGCTTCCACCCAGTCAAGAGCGTCCGTAGACCCCAATGACTGAATCGCAAGCCGAGTGATCCCATAAAAAATCCCCATACAGCCCTAGCAGTCTCCCCCGCATAAAAGATGTGATCAATAGTTTCCCTAACAGGGTTATTGCAGCACCAGCATCTGGAAACAATAAGGCGCCCAAATCTAGCCATGGCATCATCAGTGGGCAAGCGGCCCCTTAACACACGCCAAGCAAGAAATGACACCTTAAAGGGCAAATGCTTAAGCCAACATGCACTCAAAAGAGGATCTGACTACACCGGTTCAGGTCTGAATAAAGATTTTGTAGAGGAAAAAGAAAACAAACCGTTCGTAGCCACCCGCCAAATAGGGATGTCAGCTACTCTTTGACCCAGACGGGACATGTCAGCCTCCAACCTAGGCGGCAGAAGGTCATCATACGCCGATAGGTTTAACTCTCCGTCCTGAATGAAGTCAGACAATAGATCACCAGAGTACTCAACCCCCGGGAAGGGGTAAAGGCGCCCTAGTGTGCCGATGCTGGACCAATTATCCCACCAGAGATTAACATCCCCGTGAGTCAGGCGCCATCCTAAGACTACTTCTACCTCATTCTTGACGATAAGCATTCGCTTCCAAGTGTGTGAATCGGAGGTTCGCACTCGTTTCGCCACCGGGTGAACTCGACTGCAGTACTTAGCAGTCATGAAACTTCCCCACAGGGAATACACCTTGCGGAAATTCCACCAAAGCTTCGCACTAGATGCCCGCATCATCAAGTCAAGGTCAAGGAATCCCTCTCCACCCTTTTTTTTTAGGTAGGGAGAGCGTTTTCCATGAAGCCCAATTGTAGCGTGCACCTCCCGACTGCCTCCAGAAAAAGGCGGCAAAACACCTCTCCAGGTCCCGAATAACCTACTTAGGAGGGGCACAAGCTGCAAAAAGATGTAAAGGAATAGCCTACAAAACAGAAGTAATTAAGATTTCTTTCCCCCTCTTAAATAGCAGCCGACACTGCCACCCAAGGCATTTGGCCTTTACCTTGTCCACCACAGATGAAAAATAAACGCACTTCTTCCTCCCTACATACATAGGGCACCCAAGATAGGTGAAAGGGAAGGATCTATGAATGCATCTAGTGATGTCCCCAATCCTACGAATTACCCGACCCGAGGTGTCAAGATGCATATAAAAAGCACTCTTAGGAAAACTGACCATTTGGCCAGAAATCCCTTCATAATCTTTTAAAGCACGAATGACTTTGCAGATTGCCCCATGTCTCCCAGTACTAAAAATAATAACGTCGTCAGCATAAGCTAAGTGATGAATATGAGGAGTACCAGCAGGCTGGGAAAATCTAGGGACAGCCTCATCCTGATGGACGCAAGCGATGAACGTAGAGAGGACCTCTGCAGCGATTATAAAAAGACTAGGGGAGAGTGGGTCTCCTTGCCTCAATCCACGGGACGAGGTAAAGAAACCCTCTTTGACCCCATTGACTATGACAGAGTACCACACATTTGAAACAACACGATAGACTAAGTCAATCCAGACTTCCGAAAATCCCATCTTACGCATCACAGAGACAAGGAAAAACCAGGATACCCGGTCATAGGCCTTAGCCATGTCTAGCTTCAGCACTATATCCTAATTTCCTACAGTTATACCATGGCACATCTCAGAGGCAAGCAAAATATTATCAGTAATAGACCGTCCCGAAACGAAACCACTTTGGTGGGGGGACAACAATCTCGGAAGGACAAAAGCCAACCTGACTACCATTAACTTTGTGACAATTTTACTACTAAAGTTGCACAAGCTAATGGGCCTATAACCAACAAATGTCTCCGGGCTAGCTTTTTTGGGCAATAACACAATTGAGGTGTGAGTAATAGACCTGATGAACTCCCTACCAATGAAGTAACTTCGGACCATATTAACCACATCCCCCTTAATGATATCCCAACAAGATTTATAGAATGCCCCTGAAAACCCATCTGGGCCTGTGGCACTAACACAATTCATGTCAAACACAACATTTTTAATCTCATCCTCCTCAGGGATAGCAACAAGCATAGCATTCTCATTTTCAGTAACGAGACGCGGCATACAGTCAAGTTTAGACAAATCAAAGGTACCTGCCTCCGCAGTGAATAGACCTTCAAAAAAGGAGACAGCATTTTGTGCTATCCCCTGTCTATCCTCAATCCATTGTCCTGTGTCATCTTTTACCTTATGAATATAGAGTTTCCTTCTTCGTTCTTTTACCATCGAGTGAAAGAACTTGGAGTTCCTGTCACCCTCCTAGACGGCCACCATGTGAGCCTTTTGTTGCCAATATTCTTCTTCGATGGAAATCTGTCTTTGCAAAAGAGCCACGCTCTCCTTATAGTCAATGAGTGCCCTATCATCATCTGGATTCTGTTGTAACACCTCTTCCAGCGCCTGCACCTTATCTTCTAATTCCTGCAATTTAGAAAAAATATTACCAAAGGTTTCCCTACTCCAAGGAGCAAGGACCTTCTTTAACTTGGACAGCTTAGTAGCCAAGACATACATTTGAGCACCCTCAACAGGCGCTTCCCAACTTTCTCTAACCACACGCTGAAAATCCTCGTGTTTGGTCCACACATTATGAAAGCTAAAGTGTTTTGGAATAGGTTGAGTAGTTATAACTTCAGAAGTAACAAGTAACGGACAGTGATCAGACGTTGTCCTAGACAAATGCATAACGGATGTCCTGAATATCGATTCCCACACCGAAGTGTAAAGAAATCGATCCAAGCACATCCAAATGGCAGCGTCCTTACGCCTCCCATTTCACCAAGTGTAAGGGGAGCCGTAGGCAGAAGAGTCAATCAGATCACACGCACTGACACACTCTCAAAAATCAGTAGTCTTCCTATGAGAATAAGGAAGACCCCCTTTTTTCTCGTCCACATTTAGCAAACAGTTAAAATCCCCCACCACATACCAGGGGACACCGAAGGGATCCTATTTGAGACTGCGAGTAGCTCATCCCATAAAGGAACCCTTAGGCGGTCCCTAGTCTTAGCATACACAAAGGAAAGCCAGAAAGCAAAAGCAATAGTAGCATGACCACATGAGACAGATACCGATTGATCAGACTCAGATTCAAAATTCAAAACAAGGTCAGAGTTCCAAAAGAGCCACAACTTGTCATTAACCCCAGCAAAAGCAAAGTCAAAGCCAAGTCGTAGTCTAAAGCTATCCAACCTATCAGTACTACAAAACGGCTCAAGGAGGCATAAAATAAATGGCTTATGTTTTCTGAGCAACAGATGCAATTTCTGAAAAGAGCCCTGCGAGGCAATACCCCGCACGTTCCAAACAAGGAACCGCATCATCAAAAGGGTGGAGACTGAGAAGAGTTAGGCGTGCCAAAGGCCGCACTACTCCGCTCCCGCTACACCTGAGATGTAGTGTACTTGCCACCAAAGGGCACGCGAGTGGTCCTAGGGGGCGAGCCATGGCCCACTGGCTGCTTATTACGCCCCACAGACTCAAAGGTAGCAACTCTACCAGCGACGGAAGAATCACTATCATCATCATCAGATGCCTCGCGATAGAACCCAGCAACGTTGGAGCGCTCCGACGCTGACCGAGTTCTCTGAGGGCGCCTAACCGGCTGAACACCTGGAGACACCGTGGGAACGGTGTTCTGGTTTGTGTTTACATTACACAATCCAGTCCCCCCACCTCGAACTGGTGTCAACAGGCCCTCAGAGCCAGGAGCAATCAAAGGAGTAGAACAAACCTGACCAGTAGAATTAGCAGTTCCTGGAGTAGATAGAAGATTAGAAGAACCTCCCCCTTTATTCGGGGATTGAGTATCGACCTGTGATGAAACTTGGGCTAGGCCCTGACCAGTTGGTAAAGGAGACTGTGTATTCAGCCCCTCTAGCGAGTGAAGACCCTCCTGTGATCGAGTATCTACCTGTGGTGGAGCATGGTCAAGGCCTTGAACAATTGGTAAAGGCCCCATGTTTACTTGAGTTTGTGTGTTCATCCCCTCAAGTGACTGATTTTTAGGGTCCTCTTGTGCTTGAACATAAGGGTCCTGAGAAACCTCATCGTGGCCGAGAACCGAGGCCAAGTGGTCATCTAATGCACTATCAAAATCCTGGATGGCAGCCCCATGAGCCAACTCAGGTTCCTGATCATTTTGAGTATGGGCTTCTTGAGCCTGTTCTATAACCTGTACATCCTGCAAAAGATTAAAAGCATTACTAGTAAAGATAGGGGTTGGGGCCGGAGGTTGGGAACGTGACAATCCCAGCTCAGGTGCAACACCTGAAGTGCCAGGCCTATCCTCATCTTGGGGGACTGAGAAAGTCACATGATCCCGTCCCCGATCAGTAGTAACCGGGTCCTTGCCCTTATCTTGTCTCCGCCTTTTAGAAGTGTTTCTCCTTTGACGTTGATTCCAACATGCAGTTTCCTGAGCTGTATGGTTCTGAGTGACCGGGGGCCGACCAACCCCACCTCATAATCTCTTATTGCCTCCACCAGAAGGTGGAGGAGTCACGAGGGGCCGGAGGCGGATTAGAGGGGCCTCCACCTCCACCACCGTCTGGTGGTGGTGGACCTGGTGGTTGGCCTGGTGGCAGGTGGCCACGTGGTGGCTGGCCCTGATCACCATTGAGGCTCGAAGGCCTAACTCCAGAACGACATGATGGGGACAAATGCCCTTGTTTCCTGCAAATTAAACAATAAGGAGGAACTTTCTCATATTCAATAGTCTGCCAAAACCCATCATCCTCTTTACCTGGTTGTTTACTTCCCATTCTGATAAACATTCTAGTCTTAAGAGGCTGTAGGAGGTCAACTTCGACCTTAACCTTCGCTACATTAGGCCTAGAAAATTTTGCAATTGCAGCATCAACATATAAAAACCGGCCAATTGGCTTAACAATTTGTTTCAAACAAGGGATGGAAAAACAATTAGCTTTCAGATTAGGCAATAAAACCCACACCGGGGCCAATGAAGTCTCAAAACGAGTATCAAAATCAGCAGTCCAACGAAACAAGCGCATGGGATAATTACCATTAAACGAAATTTGACCCTTAACCAAAATGTCCACACAATCATCAGGATGGGAGAATGCTAAAAACACATGTCTAGGGTCCATTAGACCAATTTCTACTGTACCCCGAAGCACAAAAGTTTTAGCAAAATAGGACCGTATTTCAGATAGGAGCGGTTTACCATGCGAAAATTTGCCGACTAACATAATATTTTCAATCCTGTTCATTTGTTGAATTTCACTATCCTCAAAGGTAATGCACGGTTCACCACGATGCATTTCTACAATTTTTTCAGAAATAATAGGCACCGGAATAGGGCTAGAAATTGACACATTATGTCCACCTGGATTCGAAGCCGTAAATAATTGAGCAAATGAACGAGATTGCGTACCTGAAGTCAAATTAACCCTTTGTCCTGAGTTATTTCTGCGGATAGTTGGTGGATGTGCCGTGACACCCCCACGCACAACACTTGGATGATTATTAGGATCATTAGTAACACTAGGCAAAGCATTGCCAACATTATTAGGAGTATTACTAACACTAGGCAAAGCATTATTTAATGTAGCATTAGCATTATTTGAAGAATTCAAGCCATGTATAGTAGATATATTTTGGCCACCCCCTGTAGCAACATTATTAGCAACATTACCATCCAAAGTGACCCTACTAGCAACATGAGCTGGATTGTTTGGGTTTAATGTCACTGCCGTGGCATTATATAAGCTACCCACAATGTGTGGATTATCAACAACACCACCCACCAAATTCGAACCATCAATAGTAGAAATAGGCAAATTGATATCATTATTTAAAGGGTTTGAAACCACATTATTAACACTACCAAAAGCAAGAGAAGGATTATTAGCAGTAGTACCCAAGGGGTTCGAATAAGGCAAGATATTAGCAGTAGTATGACCATTTAACATATTTATTCCCTGCCCAAGTGAATTAGCATTAGTAGCAGCCCCTCCCATATTCGAAACTATAGGAAGAGTATTGACAGTGGGATTCTCGCCATTACTTACAGTCAAAATATTTTGGCCAACAAGTGTAGCCACATTATTCACATGTTCAGTGTCATTAGCAACATTACCATAAAGGGCCATCGAAACATCAACAATGGGCAACGAATTGGCATTATCTATGCCTATGCCATGCACAAATGGTGAGGTGTCATTATATCCAGCAAGATTAGAAACATTACCTCTAGTATTGTCACTTGGTGTAACCTGACTCGGAATTACATGTTGACTCAATGGTGGACGACGAATAACATCTGCTCCGTGCACCACGTCAATACCACCCGAATCTCCGGCGATATGCAAAACCATAGTCTGCCGTGCCGACGTAAAAACGAACGGTGGTGGGATGGCCTGCTGCGCTTGAATTCGACGACTGGGGTCCTAAGTACCCGCTGGAGAAGAGCGCGGCAGTCGCCCTTGTTGAGCAGAATCGCTTGGGGCCATCAGCGTTCCAGCCTCATCGCCCCGTAGCAGTTGCATCGGCAATGAAGAAAACGCCTGAGATGAAACGCCAGCATAACAAGGGGTGATTACTGGCATCGGCGCGGAATA